TCAGCTCGACCAATATAAAATTAACTGTAATCTCGGCTGAATTTACTGTTTATCTTCTGATTCCAAGAAGTTAATCTTGCATTAATGAAACCAGGTCTTATTGGCAAGATTATTATTAGAATTTGTTTATTTAGGATTTATATTTTGTTGGATTAATATTTTTGTAGAGATAATTAAATATAGAGCTAGATATTTCTCAAAATACTGAACTCTATTCTTAAAATTATATAATTATCAAAATTAATTCAAGTATTTCTAACAAGGGAACAACACACAAAGTGTTAAATTCTGATTTTAATAAAACTTTGTATACATATAGGTTACATAAAAAAATGAATTTAGAAAATATTGGTTGTGATGGAAAGACGGTTTGAATGGGTGAAATCATCCCTTATAAATAACGTCAGTTTTAGCTTCTTTTTATTGTATCCTAAAAACTATTCAAAATATCAAAAAATGTTTTATACAAAACAATATATTAGGTGTTAAACTTAATTCCTGCCGTTTTTCGTCTCCAACGTCGATTTGTTTCGAAGGGAAAAATATCTTAATCAAAGTATTATTAATAAAGTATTATTAATTAGTAATAAAGTAGAAAATGGAGGAAATTACTTTTATTAAGGTATTCATTCATCTTCCCTTTGAAACAAATTAATTTTAGAGACGAAAAACGGCAGGAATTAAGTTTAACACCTAATAATTACCTCTGTTCATTCACGAAAAAAAAATTTTTTTTAAATAAATTTTTTTTAAAATTGTTTATTGACATAAATGAATAGAGATAATCTTATTGTAAAGCTTTTGTATAAAACATTTTATATCTTGAATAGTTTTCGAGGTATAACAGAAAAAACTGGAAACTGCTTTACTACATAAGGGGTGATTTCACCCCTTCAAATCATTTTTCCATTGCAATAGACATTTTCTAAATTCATCTTTTTATGTAACCTATATGACAGAGTTTTATTAAAATCAAAATTTATCACTTTGTGTGGTTTCCTTGTAAGATATGTATAATCAATACGTTATTGTGATTTATTAGAAATATTGCATCACTATTCTTTGTTTATACATAGCGTATAATTACACTGTACATCTCTTGCGTAATATGTTTATATGATTTCGGCTTTTATTCATTTAATGATAAGGTGTGTATCATTAAAATTGACTTCTTTGTATATTTAGAATTTATATTTAATTCTTATAGGCAGCTAAACATGGAGCTATTACTCAAGATACTGGCGTATTGCTGTACCATCTAGCTTCCAAAACTAAAAATCAAATCATAGATAAGATCCCATTTAATACTAATTATATAGTTGAGAAGAAACTAGATAGTGTACAAAGGATTGATGCTGCACTGGCTCATCTTTTGGCTAATGTGGGTAATACTTTTGATATAGTTAAGTTTGAGGAATCTTGTGGTATAGGAGTAGTAGTTTTACCTGAACAAATAGAAGAAGAAGTCGAGAAGATCATAAAAGCACACAAAGATGCAATATTGGAAAAGAGGTAAATAAAACTTTATCTTGAGTATGCAAAATATAGAAAACTTTACAATAAGTTATTTTATAATAAGTAATTACAATTACTATTTGTTATTTGAATAGGTACCGCTTTAATTCTGGTCCATTGATGCAACAAGTACGTAGTATTTTGAAATGGGCAGATGGTAAAGCGATAAAGAATGAATTTGATGTCCAACTTCTTGATCTATTGGGTCCAAAAGTTGATGCTGATCTTGCACCAATATCTAAACAAGTGAAACCAAAGGACAAGCAGACGAAAGTGAAAAAGCTGGAAGATGCAAAGGAAGGTGAGCTATATACCACTTTTTAAAAATATTTTAGATATCCATGTTCAATGATAGATTAATAAATTATGTCTATTAAGCTAAATGCCAACATGAGCACAATTACGTGAGACATACGAAGGATTTAATTTTTAATTTTCAGAACAGGAGTCACTGAATAGTGAGAAGGGAGGCGCCCAAACTATAAGGGAACTCATGAAGACTAAAATTCAATTTCATAAACCTGGAGCAAATTATAAAACCGATGGATATATTGTAACACCAAATACACATTATCTGCTGCAAAAACATTTGAAAGCAACTGGTGGCAAAGTGGTAACAAGATTCCCACCAGAACCTAATGGAATTCTGCATATTGGACATGCAAAAGCTATCAATATCAATTTCGGGTATGTATATTCTTTGATTTTAAAAGTGAAATATATTGGGATCTTAAGTCATGTCCAATATGGCCGCCTCAACAAGGATAAGGAGCCGCGCACAATAAAAGGAACAGGGAACAGAGAACAGAGAATAAGAATTTCAACCTATCAGAAATCGTGTATTGTGGAGTACACATGTGTACCTTATGCTCCTGTATGTGTACCATGCTCCTTATCCTTATTGAGGGGGCCATATTGGACACGACTTAAGATCCCGATAGTAAAAAAGATGACTCATAGATATGCTGCTGCTTATAATGGCATATGCTATTTGCGATATGACGATACAAATCCTGAAAAAGAAGAGGAGAAATTTTTTGTCGGTATACGAGAGATGGTGGAATGGCTCGGTTATAAACCAGCTGCGATTACACATTCATCGGATTATTTCCAGCAATTGTATGATTGGGCCATAGAGCTTATAAAGAAAGACTTAGCTTACGTTTGTCATCAATCCAGTGAAGAAATGAAAGGTTTTAATCCTCCACCGAGTCCTTGGCGTGATAGACCAGTCGAGGAGAGCTTACAACTATTCAATGTAATGAAAAATTTTTCTGAACATATTGTTCCCTTCAATTTTTATTACTATATATACATTTGTCTATTTTACTTGTTAAAAAATAGGATATGAGGGATGGTTTGTTGGAAGAAGGAGAAGCGACCTTACGCATGAAAGTGACTTTAGAAGAAGGCAAACAAGATCCTGTGGCATACAGAATAAAATATTCGCCACATTATCGAACTGGTGACAAATGGTGCATTTATCCCACATACGATTACACCCATTGCTTGTGCGATAGCATCGAAAATATCACTCATTCTCTCTGTACAAAGGAATTCCAATCGCGGAGATCGTCTTATTATTGGCTTTGCAATTCCTTGAACATTTATTGTCCTGTACAATGGGAATATGGCCGATTGAATGTCAATTATACTGTAGTTTCCAAAAGGAAAATTGCTAAATTAATACAAGAAGGAATAGTGTCTGATTGGGATGATCCCAGGTATAATGTAATATTATCTTTATAAGATTATCCAATAATGTCTTACTAATCTCTCATCACTCTTTTTTTATAGATTGTTTACATTGACTGCGCTACGTAGACGTGGATTTCCACCCGAAGCTATAAACAATTTTTGCGCTCAAATGGGTTTAACTGGTGCACAAGCAACCGTTGATCCTACAGCATTGGAAGCAGCTGTTAGGGATGTTCTAAATCTTATTACTCCCAGACATATGGTAGTTTTAGAGCCTATCAAATTGACTATTAAAAATTTTCCTCAAGAGAAAGCCATAAAGCTCACTGCACCCGATTTTCCTAACGAGCCAGAGAGGGGGCATCATGAAATTACATTTAATGAAATTGCATATATTGAAGCTACGGACTTCAAAGAAGTATGTAATTGTATATGTCTATCTCTTTCTAAACACTTCGCAGTTATTTATCAATACTTTATTTATTAATACTTTTTTATTTATCAATACTTACAGATTGAAGAGAAAGATTTTAGGCGCTTGACACCAAAGCAATCTGTAGGCTTAAAGCATACGGGTACCATAGTAACGTTTGAAAGTATCGAGAAGGATGCCAGTGGTAATATTACGAATATAATTGTTAGACAAGATCCTGTCTCAGAAAAGAATAAACCGAAAGCATTTATACATTGGGTGTCCCATCCAGTATTGGCATCTATTAGATTATACGAACGTTTGTAAGTAATATTTTTTCCAAATTATTAATTATTATAAAAGTTTCTTTATTCTGTAATATGATTGAAATATCTTTAATTCCCGCTCCCCTCTCCGCCCCCCCCCCCCCCCCCCC